CAAAAGGAACCCTGCACCAGAAACCCAGAACCCCAAACCCCCAAAAGAACCCCAAAAGGAACCCTGCACCAGAAACCCTGAACCCCAAAGCGCTCGCACCTCCCAGGATGAGAACGAAGGAGACTCCGGTGGCTAACCAGTTCACGCTCTTCACGTTCTCGGCGCCTTCCCGGGTCTGTGCATCATAAACCCTTTAGGGGTTTAGGGTTTCTAGGGTTTCTAGGGCTTAAGGGGTTTAGGGTTTCTAGGGGTCTAGACCCAAGAGAAACCTAGGAATAAAAAGGGTTTAGGGTTTAGGTTTTTGGTTTAAAGGACTTTATAAGGGAACCTGAACCCTAAAAATGGGAATAAGGGCCTACTCTGGGTCCTAGCGGTCTGTGCATTATAACCCTGTTGAATAGGTTCTAGGGTTTAGGGTTTGGGGCTTAGGGAGTTTATGGTTTAGGGTCTAGGGTTTAGGGTTTAGGGGTTTAGACCCAAGAGAAAACCTAGGAATAAAAAGGGTGCCTTTTTGGTTTAAAGGACTTTATAAGGGAACCTGAACCCTAAAAAAGGGAATAAGGGCCTACTCTGGGCCTTCCCGGGTCTGCGCATAACAAACCCAAGTGAATAGGGTCTAGGATTTAGGGGAGAGGGTTTAGGGAGTTTAGGGTTTTGGGCTTTAGGATTTTAGGGTTTAGGGAGTTTAGGGTTTAGGGTTTAGGGCTTAGGGCTTTTAGGGTTTAGGGGATATCCGGAATTCATCAATACACATTATACAAGCATGCGACAAAGGAATATTATGGTCTACATACATACATACATACATACATACATACATAAATACATACGCACACGTGCTTCCGTGTACGTATGGTGTGCATATATATATACACACACACATACATATATACCCACGCATGATATGTACATAACCGGTCGGATCCTCAATACTATGATTAAACTCCTCAAGTAGGGTATACTGGAAGATCTGGGTTCGCAGAGATGTGGGTCTATGGGCACATTAGTAGGGTCTAGGGTTTAGAGTTTAGGGTATAGGGGCCTTTGGTCAGTAGACGAGGGCTTTGGTTTTTGGTCTATTAATTCTACACCAACAGAACTACTAAACGTTTAAGTCTCAGCCCCCAAGGCCCTACACGCCACATCCCCCTAAACCCTAAACTCTAAACCCCTAAACCCATAGAAACCCTAAACCCTATACACCCCTAAACCCCTCTAAACCCTAAGCCCTAAACCCTCTATGCCCTGGATCCCTACAGCGAAACCCTCTGTCGCCTACAAGTGCCGGAAATGCAAAGGCCATGGCAGACAGCGGCCCGCCGAGGGTGTTGATGACGCCGACCTTTGCAGAAGGGTTTAAGGGTTTAAGGCTTTGGGGTTGAGGGTTTGGGGGTTAAGGAGTTTAGGGGTTTAGAGGTTTAGGGTTTAGGGTCTAGGGGTTTTTAGCGCTTAGGGATCAGTTGGGGGTCTTGCTACGGAAAGAACCCAGCAAGTTACCACGCTAAATATGCGTTCCTGACTGTGCTACCTCAACTAAAAATCAAGCCAAGGACAGCTACAGTTGCTAGGCTCATGATCCTCACGGCCATGTCACGCCTAGAAGAATGCCCGAGGTTCACAGTGCAAGGTAGAGCATTCAGGGATGATGCCGTGAACCCTAGAGATCCCGAATCCCGAAACCGAAACGGTTTAGGGTTTAGGGTTCAGTGTTTAGGGTTCAGGCGACAACCTTATACGGTTCAAGGTTTAAGGGTTTAGGGTATGAATATTCCTATAAACTCTACAGCCTCTTCTAAAGACACTACGAGTCTCAAAACTCCAAGAACCCGAATTAAAACAACCCCAGCGTTGCCTTATGCCAGCTGTCTTCTTGTTGGGGTAAACCCCTAAACCCTAAACCCTACAAACCCTCAACCCAAAAGCCTGAAGCCGGATGTTTAGGCAAAGCTTCGAGCGTCGGACCTTTTTCTTTCCTTGTGCACGTCGAGGAGTGTCGGATGTGGTTTCCGTTTCTCTGGATCCATAGGTAATGGTCCTAAGTACCTGCGTGGGCCGTTCCCTAAATTTAGGCTCTCTGCTGATATGGGATCCTTACCCAAAAGGTCCTCAGTGGTTGTATGGGCAGTTCTCTAGACTAGGTTCCCTTTTTATATGGGTCCATAGTATTTCCGGGGACCCTAAGGTAGAGAACTACCAACATAGGGTAGTATAGAGTAGGAATTGTTATCATGGTCCGGGTGAGTATCCCCGCATATTGGTAGGATTTTGTCTCCCAGGGCTTACGTTACATTCAGGTTCATTGTTGTCTGAAATTCCGAGTCTGCCTCATGTCCGTCTCACTTCGCTATGAGGTACAAGGCCCGGTCGGCAGCTGTCTGCACGTCGTGATTGTCATCGTACAACATGTTGTGAATCAAGGGAATCAAGTTGACTGCTTCCTTACCAAGCAGGCCACACGTCTTGATAGCGAGCCATTTCTCATACCAAGGGATGTAGGTCGTCATCCTCTGTCTGGCAACCTGAAGCACCTTCTTGGGCTCTTTTTTGCCAATCTTCGCCAAGGCCTTGCTCGCTGCTTTCAGGTAGGGATCATTCGCGGACTTGACTTCCCAGCCCACCCCGTCGAAAATCGCTGTCACCGAATCCGCAGCCTTCTTGCCCATGTTCCCCAGACTCTTGACCTAGGTTCCCCAGTGGCCCCTAAACGGTTTAGGGTTTTAGGGTTTAGGGTTTAGGGTTTAGGGCTTAGGGGTTAGGGTTTAGGGTTTAGGGTTTAGGGTTTAGGGTTACTTGGCCAAAAAGAAAAAGGGCAACAGGGTAGTACTGGGGAACCTAGTGACAGTAGCAACATTGATGTCTATGGAAAGGTCTGACAAGCCCCGAGAGGTGAGCTTCGGGATCGCCGCCTCGGCCTTTGTGCCTTAGTTTGCCGAGCTATGCTTTAAGGGCTCCTCATGAAGGTTTAGGGTTTAGGGGTTTAGGGGTTTAGGGGTTTCGGGGTCTAGGGGTTTAGCGGTTTTAAGGTTTAGGGCTTTAGGGGTTCAGGGGTTTTAGCGCTTTAGGGCTTTAGGGCTTTAGGGGTTTATAGGGGTTTTCGGGCTTTTGTTATATGGATTCCTCGCAAGGGTTGCCGGGGTTGCTATAAGGGTGCCATACGAACGGTTCTATAAAAGTGTGAGGCATTTAGTTTAGGGTTTAGGCTTTAGGCTTTAGGGTTTAGGGATTTAAAGGCTACTAAGGTACCCATCTTGCCGATTTCCTTGATCGCGTCCAGGCGCACCGCTCGGCGAGGATCGTCAAGAAGATCGATCCACTCTTTCAGGGATGGCTCGTAGGGCCCCACCAACGAACCTACTCTTTCGAGGACTTGGATAAGGAGATCGTACTAAGAACACCAATACTGACTTATAAGAATACAAAGAGGGAACCTCCCAAAAGGAAAGCTTATGGGGTAGAAATGTTTAAGGAGCCCTTTCAATATCTCTTCAAGCAGCCTAGGAGTTATGTTTAAGGCTAGGCTAATGGGGGTTCGGGTGTTAGAGGCTCGGATTGAGGGGTATGGGATTTACCGTAGCCCAATTAAACTACCTCTTTAAGAACCTGTACAAGGAAGTCAGGACAGGGAACCTCCCCAAAATGAAGGTTTCTGCATCTTCAAAAAAAAGCCCTTCGTGACCCTCAACACTTAGAGTACTTTGGCAACAGGAGTAGCGGAGAGTTTAGGATTTAGGGTGGGAGCCGTTACAGCTGCCCTTAAAAATGACCCTGAGAGTACCTCGAGGCCCCTGAGACCCCTGATATAAGGGCCTTATTATAAATTGTAATTAGAATAGGGTCTTGGGAATCCTTCATAATGTCAAAAACAGCTGAATAAAAACCTCGGAATAATGCTAAAATAGGGTTTTGGGGGTGGAATATTCTATACAATAAGGAGCCCCCCAAAATCGAACTGGTAGCTGCTTAGGCCCCTATGCCTAGACCCTAGACCCCCACACCCTAAACCCCAAACCCTAGGCCCTAAACCCCCAAACCAACAAATTTTCCACACTAAACCCAGGACCCTAGACCTCAAAAACATAAGCCCTACTTTAGACTTAAACCCCAAACCTGACACACTAAAGCCTGGACCCTAAACTAAACCGTGAAGCTTACACCCTGAACCTTAGAGATCCCTAATTAAACAATAGCCTAAAGCCCTCCAATCCTAAACCTTAAACCCTAAGCCCTAAACCCTAAACCCTAAAACCTAAAGCCTGAACCTTAAACCCTAAACCATAAAACCTAAAACCTTAGCCCCAAAACCCTAAAACCATGAACCCTAAACCCGATATCCCCGGCCCTGGTCGTCCTTCGTCCGTTCCGGCGTCGCCATGCAACTCCGCCGGCTTCTCCGCGCTCTTCAAAAGGTCGACCTACGGTTGATGATCTAAATCCTGCATTACCCATAACCCTAAGGGTCCAAAGGATCCAATAATTTGGCACTGAGGTTTCGGACAGAAGTTTTTTTAGGCTACTATTTGGGAGAGTATATGATCATTGGGTACTTGGACCCTTGGGGGTAATAAAGACTATACCAGAAATCCCATAGTTAAGGGTCCTTAAGGTAATGCAGGATTTGTGTCATCAACAGTATCAGTTACCCGGTTTGGGGCTTAGGGTCTAGGGTTCAGGGTTCAGGGTTTAGATTTCCGGCTTAAAGATTTGGGGTTTTCCCGTAACCGAAAAGACCTACCTCTTTAAGGAACTATATATAGAAACCATAATAAAGAACCCTAAAAAGGTAGGTCTTTTCGGTTACAGGTAGGGTTTAGTTAGATCCTGTATGGGCTCCTTGTAGAGGAATGAGGATTTCGGGCTATAGAAGGAGTCTTCAGGTGCAGGGTTAGATCTTCTCACGTTCCGCCTAGCGTTTCATTGGGGCTCTTGTTTTCGGGGTCCTTTTAGAAAGCTCTGAAAGCTCGATGAGGGGGTGAAGTGTTCAAGGGGTGTGGGGGTTTAGGGCTTTAGAGGTTTGGGGGTTTAGGGCTTTTCGGGCTTTAGGGCTTTAGGCTTTAAGTTTCGGGTTTCGGGCTTTAGGGCTTTAGTGTTTAAGTAGTTCAAATCACCCATTAAACCATAACCCTAAACCCTAAACCCCAAACCCTAACCCTTAAAAAAAAAAAAAACCTATAAAGCCCCAGCGAATCACCTTGCCCGTCCCATACCACCCCCCGAAGGGTCCAGGTACCCATAAAGGCCCCAAAGTCTTTAAATAATGAGTACTTGGACCTTTAGGGACCGCTTCCTTTTGGAGACATCGCCGGGCCTGAGATCTGCCTCGGCGTGCTGCATCTGTGATGACGAAGCACAGGGACCACAGGGTCCTTGGGCCTTAGGGTCTGGGGGTTTAGGGACTTTGGGTTTAGGGTTTAGGGACTTGGGGTTTAGGGTCTTAGGGTTTAGGGGTTTAGGGACTTAGGGTTTAGGGACTTTGGGTTTAGGGTTTAGGGCTTAGGGCCTAGGGTCTCCATTAGTATTTTTTATTGGGTTTGTTCAGGCTTTTGGCTTGTTTGGAAAGGTAGGTTCTTTGGGGTTCACGAAGGACCCCAGGGTGCTTGGTGTGAAATACGATGGCCGGTGTCGAAAGCAAGCTTCGGCAACATGGGTCTAGGGTTTTGTGTTGGGTTTAGGGTTTAGGGTTTAGGGTTTAGGCTTTAGGGTTTAGGGTTTAGGGTTTACGTAGGTTGTTGTTGCTACTATCGCGGCTGCAGCACGAGCTGTCAACACGGACTAACAAGCCGGAGCGACAACAACAAAACCCCACAAACAACATCAACGACAGCAGTAGCAGAATCAGCTCCAGCAAACACCATCTGTCAACAGCTACCATCCTTCCCCTTTTCTGGTTGGCCCCCTCCACAACACAGACTAAACTAAACTCTGCTAAGAGTCCATGCTGCGGAGAGCCGCATCGCCATATATAGTTGGAGCTCATAAACAACACAGGCTTGGTACGCACACATTGTGTCTTGACTCTCGTGGCTGCGTTGCATTTACGCAAATGCAGACCCGAGCATCCTTCACCTCGGGAATGTAAGAAGCCATGTGCACTCCTATGTCGGGGCCCAACTTGGAAGAAAGCACAGCAACCTTGAACCCCAAACCCTATAGTCCCTCCTTGTTGTGCTGAGCGAGAAAACCATGGTAACATTTCCATGAGCTGCTTTCATGCACCCGTTTAAGCCACGATGCAATGGGTCAATATGGCATAACTCCGAAGCCAGACAACCCTGAAATCGCAGAACAAGTATATCAGTGAATCGAAGCTGGAGAGATATGATGTATATTTAATCAATGGAACAAGGTTTTGGGTTTCGAGGGATATGATCTCATACTTTGCTTTTTCATAGAGGCTATTGACCCAAAGCCCCGTTGGAATTGTTCACTGTGTGATCGACTTCGACGCCCTACGCAACTGCACGAAACGTGAAGCCTGCAGTGGCTACAGCCGGGTTGAAACTTCTCGCCTCCAACACTGCGACGTACTTTTTGTGGGTTCCTTATAAGGGCTTGGGGGTTTACGATGCACCGGGAACGAAGACGGCAGTTTCCAGGGCTTGGGCTTTGGGTGCTGCGCAAGCTAGGCCTCCTTTCTTTCCCGATCTGCTCCCCTAAACCCTAAACCCTGAGTTTACATTCTATGCCGGTTCCGGGGTCCTTCTGTTCTTCCTTGTAGGGTTGGCAACTTCTTTGGCAGATCTCTCTGCCCACCCACGGTTTAGGAATCGGGCTCAAGGTTTACAGGGCCGTCGGGCGCTAAACCCGAAACATACAGCAACAGCCCTACAACCCTAAACGCCACTGAAACCAAAATGAAACTAAAAGCCCTAAACCCTCAAGCTTAGTTGCACCCACAACCCTAAACCCTCAACCTTGAACCTGAAAGCCCCACAAAAGCCTCAATCCGAAGCCCGTCCCAACCCGCAACACCGAGACCGAAAACTCGGCTGAACCGCAAAACCCTAAATCCGAATCCCTGGACCCTGCAATTTAGGGTCCAGCATCCATAGGCTCCAAAGTCGTCCCTTTTGGGGATTGCCTTATAGGATCCTAAATATGAGCCACAAAAAGGAACTACTTTGGAGCCTATGGGCAGGGTTTAGGGGTTCAGGGTTTAAGGTTAAGGTTTAGGGTTTAGGGGTTGAGGGTTTAGTTAGGGGTTTGAGGGTTTAGGGTTTGAGGTTTGAGGGTTTCGGCTAGGCTTTGGGGGTGAGGGGTGCTCAACCCCAGGCCAAGGGACCCAGAGCGCATTGAAGCGCTGGATGAGCCGAGCATTGAGATAGAACCTGGACCCCTAAACCCTAAACCCTACACCCTAAACAATAACCCTAAACCCTACACCCTAACCAATAACCCTAAACCCTAAACCCTAAACAATAGCCCTAAACCCTAAACCCTACTTGAAGGACCTTGGGACCTAAGGAAGGCTCGAAGTCGATAGCTCTTCCTCACCGGGACGGATGCTTCTCGGATGGATGGACTCTAGGAGTGACATGTTAGGGCAGTTTAGAGGTGAGGGATTAGGGGTTTAGGGGTTAGGGGTTTAGGGTTAAGGGGCAGTTTTGGGTTGAGGGCTATTCGGGTTTGAGGTTTAGGATTTAGCGTTTTTTTATCTTCGAGTTATAAGTATTTAGGGGAGGCTACTGGCTGTAGAAATGTAAATCAACTCGGGTATGCCTACTACAACAAGGCACAGATTCTCTGAGCATCCCCATATTTCGACAAACAAACCGAAAAAATGGAACAAATAAGAACAGTCCCTAAGGGCGGTGTATTTTGCAACTTTACATGCCCGGTAATAAAGTTTCGTCGCATCCGCTAGAAACACTAAACGGAGTA